TAGCTCTAATCTCGAATAATTCTCGACTGAGGAATATACTTATCTATCTTATTGCCAAGTTTAAGGTATACCTCAAGAATCCTGTAGTGCCGACATATGTAGCATGATCACCACCAGCCTTCAACACTACTCTTATGGCATTCTCCCTCGTCATAGGCAAGGTCTTATCATACTCTGCTGCCATCTCCAAAGTATATCTTTAAAACTAAGCTAATGGGCATAACGTCATATTACTTAACTACCTCGAGAAAGTATCCTTTCGAACCAGTATCAAATGCGGAGTCTTGCTCTCCATAGACTAAAATAACAGCCATAGGAAATTGAACCAGATACCTCTAGAATGAGAGCCTAACACCTTACCTGCGCCGCCGCTGCTTCCAGAGCTTCCAAAGCTTCCGAATTCTCAGTAGGCAGCTCAGTGCAAGCCAAATCCATAGCTTGAATTATACCTAAGTAACACCACTAAACCCAGGTTCGATCCGCAATATTACCAGCCTGCAATTTTCCCATGATCTTATGCTGTGGCTCGTCCCTTACTCCAGGCTCACCACGCCAACCCACCAGAACCTAAATGCTCACCAATCGGACATCATCCGTATCTTGCGCGAGTAACCTCAAGATACTTCTCTATTACCAGCATAGGAATCCCGTACACTCCGGGATGAGCCAATGAGAGGAGCGGATTGACCATGTTACCATAACCACTATTCTGAGTGTATCTAAAGAAAAGAACAAGTTGGAATAATGTATATAAGCATAGTTACATATACAGCATAATTGCATACAATACCGTATAACATCATACATTTAATAAAATAGAGAAACGAATAGACTAGATATTATAGTTGACAATTAATCATTTATTATGTCAGTAATAATTATATTATTCTGTGAAATAATCGTCATACACAAGAGGGAGTTTGCCGGTAGCCAAATGGTAACCCGCAGCAAGGCCAATGGCACTGCCTTCGTTAACAGCAATAACATGCTCGTTAGGCGCTGCATGATCAGTAACGTATCTAAGGTTCCACCAAATAAGATACAGAATAGGTCCGTAGTTGTAAGACCTACGCGCAAAAGTCTTTTAACAAGGAATCAGGGACCCCAGTGAAGTAGCCGACCCCACAAGCTCTAGCCTTATTATAAAACTCGGCTACGTTGACATTCCTCGTGCCATGGGTAGAGAACGCCGCTTTACTCAAGGCGTTTTGGAAAGACTTCATCGCTATTGGTGCCAACATACTTTTAGAAGTCGGTAACATTGTAAATCAGGAACGGAAATAGAACCTAGAGTATAGGGTCGAATGACTTGGATTATTTAAATATTAACCATGTCCATGGGGTACACTATTATTAATACAACAATTATAATACACAAGTATAGAGTTGATTGGTACTAGAATAGATAATAGATGATGATATGTCACAGATAGTATAGTGCTACGAGTATTGTAGTGATGACTTACCGGATACTCAGGCAATACGCGCCATGTTGGAAATTACATAAGAATAGTGGGATGTTAGGATTGAACCTGGGACCTTCTTCAGATGTATATGCGTACATGCCGATCAGAATGGCGTACGCTTTTGTTAGCTAAGACGAGACTTACATTACACAGCTTCGTCGCGAGACTTCAGTTCAACCTCTACCTACTCATCATCATGCCTGCCAAGCTTGGTATCAACGGTTTCGGTCGTATTGGGCGTCTGGTCTTCAGGGCCGCTCTAGAGAACCCCAATGTGACGGTGGTCGCGGTTAACGATCCTTTCATGGACATCGAATATATGCAGTATTTGCTCAAGTACGATACGGTTCATGGCAGGTTCAAGGGGGAGGTCTCCAGTGCTAACGGTAATCTTATTGTCAACGGTCAGACTATTCACTTCTTCAAGTCGAGGGACCCCGCTGAGATCCCATGGGGTCAGGCTGGTGCTGATTACGTCTGTGAGTCTACCGGTGTCTTCACCACTTCCGAAAAGGCTGGTGGGCATCTTGGTGGTGGCTGCAAGAAGGTCGTCATCTCGGCTCCTCCTAAGGACAGTACTCCTATGTTCGTCATGGGAGTTAATAACGAGAAGTATACCTCTGACTTGAAGATCGTTTCCAACGCCTCTTGTACCACCAACTGCCTCGCCCCTCTGGCTAAGATCATCCATGATAACTTCGGCATAGTCGAGGGCCTCATGACCACCGTCCATGCTACTACCTCCACTCAGCTCACCGTCGATGGCCCTGCTAAGGGCGGCAAGGATTGGAGGGGTGGTCGCTGTGCTAGTCAGAATATCATCCCGTCCTCCACTGGTGCTGCCAAAGCTGTCGGCAAGGTCATTCCTGAGCTCAACGGGAAGCTCACTGGAATGTCCTTCCGTATTCCCACTGCTGATGTCTCTGTGGTGGACCTTACCTGCCGTCTAGCCAAGTCCGCCACCTACGATCAGATTACTGCTGCTGTCGATGCTGCCTCTAAGGGTCCTATGAAGGGGATCATGGGTATTACTCATGATGAGGTTGTGTCGAGCGACTTTACTCATGATAGTCATTCCTCTATATTTGATGTTAAGGCTGGTATCGCACTTAATGACACCTTCGTGAAACTGGTGTCTTGGTATGACAATGAGTGGGGATATTCGAATCGTCTGGTCGATCTTGTCGTGTACATGAGTAAGGTCGACGGCAATTGCTAGGCGGCGGCGATTGCTATAGTTATTATTGATATTATGTTGAGAAATGATTCATCTTATTTACTTATTCCGGGCATCCCGTGTCGTAAAAACTGATATGATAGAACTCTAGGTAGATATGTTAGTGTCATAACTCAGTCGAGGTGTTGTGTTGGTAGTAGTGGAACTGAGATGATATGCGGCCATTTGTGTAACTCTCATTGACATCGTTATTGTTATTGAGAGTAAGGGCGGTACGCTAGAGCAACAGGCAAGCTAGAGGGAGAAGCTGTATTGTCAAGCTTTAGTCTCTAGGTTGCCTTATAAATTTCGTTTGCAAATAGTACATGGTATATCAGAGTGTTTTGCATAGTTGAATGTTGTTGTGCTGGTTTCTTGTCAATGCGTGTTTTATGCGCCCACATGATGTAAGAAAGGGTAAGTAGTCGCACTTGACGATCTCCATAATCTCACGGTGTATTGAGTATTGCATTCCAAATCTAGTTTAAGATCATCCAACTTTATCGTGTGGAAAACGAGTCGTTAATCCTTTTCTATCGCCTATGAGCATTATCCAGGTCACCGTTGACTCTGATTGCATCAGTTCAACTTCAGGTTTACACTTGGAAACATTAGTTTCGCCTTGATGGATGATTCTGGAAGGATGAGGTTGGATTTACCGGGATGGTTGTCGGGCGCTTGACCCAGGTGCCGGAGAACCTTACCTTCTGAGACGTATCGAGGCCACTATGTTGAGAAGATATCAATACTCATACGGTCGATCATTGGCATCAACCGTTGTTGTTCCGGCCGCTGGTCACTAATCCCGTTAATGATCTGACCACGCGTGATGGATTGCAAAGATGGGGTTTCTATTTTCGTCAGTCCTTAAGTCATATTAACCATAAGGATAGTATATGGGGACTCGGAGTAGTTTCTCCTGTTGTCAACTGGGTAGTATAGTAGATATCACCAACAGGCGATAGGTTGCGCGAATCGCGAAGGTGCAATATTATCTGATAAGTGATTTACGTAGTAGCAATCCAGGACACGTAAACAAGCCACTCGCGGAAGACGGTCTCTAGAGGTTGTTCAAAGATGACTAACACGGTCAGTGTTGGCAACTCGTGACGCACCGTATTGGCCAGCATGAACCTGCAAGCAACGCCCTTGCTTAGGCGGCTCGTCACTGGCAAGTTGTCCACAGCGATTTCAGCGGCACATGGACGATAGCTGCGTCTTGCGCCGAATGGGACGAGTGATTGCGCGATTCTGAATATCTTCTGAATATGAAGCCCTTTGATTGACTTATCCTAATTCCTTAACCTTCATAAGTAAGCATCTGAGTGATTCAGTGAATATGAGGCTGGTTTCACTGAGAGAAGTACATCCTCATGATTCAGTTATTTGATATGACCTTATCAAATGAGATAGATTAATAATTCAACTATATCAAAAGCTACCCACTGCATCTACTTCATTGGTCGCAACTTTCAAGATACGGTATGTGCCCGCCTTCCCCCTGACCGGGCGTGGATAGCCCCCCTAAGTGGAGTTCCCTCGGACGACAATGGGCGAGCTATCTAACTTCCGCTACCTTGTCTAGGTATATTTGAAGTGTTCGTGGTGATACGCTGAAGTCGCCAGGTACTAAGGACTCCTGTGTAAAACATTGAAGTGGGCTACACTGTGTGGTGTTCATGAGTGTCAATATCGAAGGTCCTAGGGTAAAAGTTGTATGACGGCAGTAGCAGCAGCCGGAACTGGCCGTCTGACTAATTGGTCAGATCATCTGACTCAGATGGGTCTAATGTTAATGATTTGGGATGATCTTCCTTAGCCATGGATGGTACTGTGCCGTCAAGGGACCCTTTGAGAGGGTCGATCCCTGTTCATTTTTTCTCCTCTTAAATGTGGGAGTACGCCTGGCAACAACCGTATAACTTCGTTCGGCGATATTGCGGGAAGAAATGTAAGATAGACAGTCTTCGTTAGATCCCTATGCACTACTCTCAGGTGCCCTTGTAGGAGCATGGATATATTTCCGCTATGGCTACTTCAATGATACCATTGAACTATGCCAAAAATGGAGGAGACGGCTCACCAATCGGTTTGTCGGTGATCCACGTCTCCCAAGCACTGTTGATGTGCTAATATTGGGCGGAGGAGTGATGGGGTTAAGTGCGGCGTGGGCCACCTCAAAGTTGAATAGGAAAGATGGATCTCCGGTATCATTCGTTGTAGTGGAAAAGAGTGAGCTACTACGGTTCATTGCAGATAGGATTCAATCTGTAAATACTCAGATGACTCTACCATTACGTCCAGTTGGGGCGAATCTAGGATACTGCGACTAGCATATCCAGATGAGGTTAAGATAAGGTATGACCGGCGGCGGCGGCGGGCTACGACCTTGGATGCAGTGTGTCCTACTTGTTGTGTAGGATGATGCAGCGGTGTTTTGCACTATGGTCGACTCTAGAGGGTATCGTCAAAGAAGAGCTAATGCAATCCAGTCCATTATTGACAATATACCACGATAACACAAAGGATCGCGTTAAGAACCTCACCACAGTTTATGATACTCTAGGTATCCCGTACAGGGTGAGTGGGTAGATGTTGTGGTGGGAGATCTCTCCAGGGTATAAGGGGCCCGTTGCCGCAGTAGCACCGATGCCTACTGCTCGTTCAGGAGCTCGGACCTAGAGAAGTAAAGAAGGAGTATCCGATGCTTCGATTGGGGAGAAGTAGATAGAGGTTACTCATCTGAGTATATCATCAATACTCTTAGATGATGTGGCCGTAGAACAAGCCGACAGTGCCTGTATTTATGCATCGGAAGCAGTAGAGGCTCTAAAGTAAGTGCCTGATCCACAGTATTGTCGTTGTTGTCGTGGTCATCCTGAGCATCATCCTACATAGGACAGCAGTTGGGGAGGACAATATCGCTGAGGATAAGGCAGTATCGATCAATGT